ACCGCTTCCTTGAATTTCCCTTGGTCTGCGCCCCAACAGAGTGGCTCTCTGTAGAAATACTGTCCCATCAGGATCAGCCCCTCTCTTCTCTAAGGGAGGCCCCATTGTAGAGAAAAAGGGGATGAAGCCCAGAAACTGGGGAGGAGGCACTCACAGTGGCCACAGGGTGTGAGTCACTGGCTCTGATGAAGTGTGACCAGGGGCTGCACCCTATAATTCTGTGTGCTCGTCACCATGCCTGGCACAGTTACTGCCACTTCCTAGGTGCACAGCAAACATTTCTGGATGAGTGGATGAATAAATGAATGGCATCTGTCTTACCACACCCCAGCATAGCTTCTCTGATGTCATGGGGCTTCCACAAGCCATGAGACCTCTTTCTGCCCTATCATAGGGTTGAAAAGTTAATGCGTAAAACTCATTCACACACTCATCAAACCAGAAAGTAGAGACCGAGTGCTGTATGGAGCATCCTTTGTACCTAGGAGGAACTCAAAGTACAACAGTAATTTATCACACCACACATATACCAGGGTAAGGCCAGGGCAGTATGGGGATTCATTTTATTTCCCCCATCTGGGAGATATTAAGCTCCCAGAGACAGGGGCCAACATCATCATCATCATCATCATCATCTTTCTTCTTATGTAAAATTCTTGAGGATGATTAATTTCCTTTCATTGACTGATGTATTTCAACAGCACTTGACACACAGTAGGTGCTTTATAGGTTTCAGTGGACACCGAGTAATCATTATCAGTGCTGAAACCACATGCATCCTTCTTCCCAGGACTAATGCCAAGCACTTTGCAGTTGTTATTTCAACAATATAAGGAAACTGGGAAACAAAAGCAGAAATGTCCTGGGTCAACGGAGCCAGCTTCAGACCTAAGCACTGACTGGAGCAAACCTACTCCTGCCCACACCTCTAGCCCTTTTCAACCCCTAGCCATTTCTAAGGCTTCTCCATGTCTCTCACGGCTCCTTGTCAAACTAACAAGAGCACAGATCCTAGGCCAAATGAATAGCCCTAGACTTCTGACCGCACCTGATGTCTCTGAGCTAGGACGATTTAGCACCTCAACTCTCCAATACTAACCCAGGGCTAATGAAGGCACAGAGACGGGACTGCCAACCTTAAACCCTGCCCAGCCAGGCAGCTAACAAGATTTTTATTGACAGGAAAATAAAGACACCAGAGAGAAATACGACCCTCTCTGCCCTGTCTTTAAATGAAAAATGAACTGGGTCCAGGAGATAAAGGATAACTTCCTATTTCCCAGATGCTCTCTCCATTTCTCTAGTGAGACTAAGGCAGGCACACGGACAGCAAGGACACTGGTGCAACTGCCAGCAGGTGAAGAAGCAAGAAGCCTGAGGAGCAGGGACCAGAGATTGGCAGCTGCCCGGCTTTCCGGGCTGTGAAGAAAGCCTGCGTCACCGGAAGACATCCCTGTGGGTGCCATGAGCACACACAGCACCTTCCACATGAGGTTCAAAGGAGCGTGGTCACAGGGGAGGGGCGGGGGTATGATGATGCCACACAATTAGAAAAATATTCTGTCCAATGACCGTATTTAACTCATCGCAACAAATATCAGCTAGTCACCTACTCAGGCCTCAGCCTGCATTACACATTTTTGTATCTGCACTGCCCAGCAAGACTACATAATAAACACTAACTACTGGGGAGCACTTTCGGCTTACAATGCACTTCTACCTTCTGCTTGTTGTGACTCGTTTCCAAACAACACCATGGGAACAGGCATGACGAGATTCGTTATTTACTATACTCGGTTTGCAATTGAGGAAACCAGGGTTCTGAGAACGGCCACTGACAAGGAGCACCTGTCAAATAGCCAAGCCTTGCCAGGCCCTGTGCAAAGTTGCACGAATCATTAATATCCACAGCCACCTTCCATGTAAGTACAGTATGATCTGCACGGCACCAACGAGGAAATGAAGGCTTCCAGAGGTGACGTTTAGTTCCCAAAGCTGCATATACAGAGGTGAGGGAGTTGACATTTCAACTAAAGTTCTGTGCCTTTGTTCTGGGGTTAGAGGCTGCACTGTCATCAGAGGTTAAATAATTAGCCCAAGATCACACAGCTGTCCAGAGACAAAGCTCCTCTCCTACCCAGCACTTTCCTCTATCACTGCTGCATGAGGAAGTTATATTAGAAAAGTCCCTGTTTGGAGGGCATTTATCATCTGTCACAGGAGACAAAACAAATGTAATACAGATCTAATATCAAAGAAAGGCCAAACTTTGGCCTTCAGTGTATTAATAAGATTTCCAGGCATGAAATACTATGTTTGAAATAGAAAATATTTTGGTCCCGCGTGCCGTTAGGAGCAGACAGTGGAATTAAGTACTGTATACAGCAGTGTTTGGCTTGCTTTGGGGTAGGTAGTTACTGGCTATGGCTAGCTGGATGCTGCTAGGGTCTCCTGGTTCCTCTGCACTTAGGCAGAGCCACGAGATTAGTTTTGGACAATAGCGGTGACTTGTATTACTTCTAACCAGAACAGGAAAAGTACATGTGAGCTTCCTAAGTGCTCCTTTCCTTAGAAATATTCCAGCTGGTAAAACCATTCTCAGCCTGGCTTCTAACTTTCTCTGAAGAAAATAAGCCTCCTGTTGATCCACATTCGATACTTATCCTGGGAAAAGCAAACATTTATTTATTGTGTATTAAGCCACTGAAATTAGAAGTCAATTTGCTACTGCAACATAACGAAGCCCGTCCTCACACAGAGGCATGACAGCATTCTCAGACTGAACATCCTGATAGAGGCTAGGATTTCAATCATGCTTGGACCAGCCTGACAGTGAGGGATGAGCACGGGAAGTTGGAGAGCTAGGAGAAAGGAAAGACTCCTGAGGTGAGCAGGTGTGTGTGGGAAACCAGAACTGGTCACCACTGGATTGCAGAAGTGGCCAGAAAGAGCCTGTAACAGCACAGCCAGAGGTTAGTCAGAGCATAAGACGGATATTTGGAGATACGGACAGTTTGCTCTCAGTCATACCACCCACACTCCACCTTAAGGCAGAGGCATCACTTGCGGATGACGTGCGTAACAGTGACAGATCAAAGATTTGCTTCAGGAGGCTGCCAGTGGCAGTGGTGTCAGATGGATGGTATTTGGAGAAACCAAAGCCAGACACACGAGATAGGGGAAGGTAACTGTGTGACTCAAGCTGGACCTAAATCTCAGAGTTTGCCAATAGATACTGGCAGGATTTCTGAGGTGAAAGGTTAGTTTGATGCAGGTCACAGGAAATCTATTTCCTAATGTCCAGGGAGGTGGTCATTCCCAGGATGGATCTAGCCCCTTTTCCAAATGTGCACGTACATGTCCATTACAGTCAGTCACATCCTGCTGGCCTGGGAAGATGCAGAGAACAGGAGATGAGACTTGTTAGCCTTACAAAGAAGTTATCACCCAGGGCATAACCTGCCTCTCTTCTTTGGGTAGAGTAATGTGTTTCATTTATTTATTAATTTACCAGCTACTTAATTTGTTCACAATAGCCAGAAACTATGCTCTCTCTCAGGAATACAATAGTGAGAATTCAGACATGATGCCTTATACTCCAAACAGATTTTCAGTCTAGTAAAAAGGTAGAAAGCATATAGTTTGTCATATTTTAATGCCTAATGACAAACCGTCACAATGCTGAATATACCAGTCAGGTTCTCTTACAGAATATAGGAAAGGGACAAAACCTAACTGTTGGATACTGAAAGATGTCAGTTCTGAAGAAGCGATGAGTAAGATGAAAACTAAAAGATGATTCAGGGAGTGAGGAGGATACATACAGTGGAAAATGATCACACCACTTTCAACCCTTGAACAGAAAGGCCATGGATTTGGGGTGCAGAAAGACAAGGCAAGAGTCGGGGAAGACAGAGCTGAAGAAGTAATAGTTTCTAATTTCTTGCTGTGACTTACCAAGCCACCCAAGAGTACCAGGAAGCCCCTGGATGACTGTAAGTATGGCATAAAGAATGTCCGGCAGATATTGTCCATCCAGCTGAAGTCTGGGCAACTACAATCATCCAGGGAATGGATGACGAGGGTTTGGTTAGGGTGGTGGAGGAAAAGGGGGAAAGAGTGGGATGAATTTGAACGATGTCCCTAAAAATCACAAGCCTTGATGACAGACGGGACCTGGAGAGATGGGTCAAGGTGCCCCTTACTTGTTTAGTTGCAGAACTGTGTGGAGAGTGTTAATATGGAGTGATGCAGCTGACATAGGGGGATAAAACTGGGTGAGGTGAGAAGGAAGGCAGTTAATAGGATGATCACAGGACAGGACTGCTGCCTCCCAGCCCATTGGTAAGGGGACATGAGGATGCCTTGCTTTCCAGGAGGTGTTCGGTCCTGCCCTTGATGCCTCCCTGGAGGACTCAGAGTTTTAGAAATGAGTAGTTCCTTCCACACCCTTCACTGGTGACCCTGGAAGGACAGTACCACACTCTCCTCTGTCAGCCCCATTTTCAACACAGCTGATTTCAAGTTCAGGACTATAATATTCGACCCTTTAACCTTCTGGGTTTCACACATTTTACGCTTATTAAAGCCTTACTTTAGCAGTTGACCTGAGATCCATAATCAAAACTTTTTCACAGGAAAACACACCGAGACCAAACAAAATTGGAAACCAGGGCACAGCTCATAGTTTGATGTTTTCCCCTGTTCACGGGAGAATCCCACCAACATCCCAGAGGAACACAGAATTTGAAGGTTCCAGAAAAGCAATAGATGCTTCTGACAGGACAACAAGGAAGAATTTCCTGGGAAACTTGTCCTTGAGTTGCCTCTTGAAAGATGAGTGTGATTGAGATAAATGGCGGTGGAAAAAGGAAGAGAACTGTGGACAAAGGAAGCAGCGACAGTGGGTGCAGTAAGTAGGACGGTAAGGGGCACGTTTCCTCCCTGGGCCTCCTCCAGGATGCTCCCTGTCCCGAGCCTGGATCCCTTACCATCCTCACCTGGTAAAGGTGATCGCGACTCGAGAAAATGCTTTCAGCTCAGCACTCTGGGAAGTGACCGCATTGGACTGAACGAAGAAGCTGAAGACAGAGAGGAAAGGGAACGTAGAACATATATTTTATTTACCAACTATTTTCCGCTCTTCCACATTCACACGTCTTCCGCGCTCTAGAATGGCCCATTTGTGATCCCCTAAATACATCCCCCACTTGCCTCTCTCCCCAGCAGTAACTGTGATGTTCCCTCCTCCAACACTTGCTGTCCCAATCTAACATAGCCGCTATGGGATAATTCAAACACAAGGTCCGCTGTTCCCTTCCCTTGTTCCCCGGCCCTTCCAGCAACTTTCCTGTGTGCCTCCTGCTTAGTACCCCTTCCTGTGTAAGCTGATATTCTGCCTCCTTGGGGTCAGGCTGCCGGTGCTCCTTGGGTCACAAGCTATGTCTGCTTTCCCCCTCAGAGACCCAGAACAGTCTAGCACATAAGCAAAAGCTCCGTAGCTGGTAACAAATGGAGGACAGAGTCTGAACCTTGAACTTCTGAGTCCTTTTTCAGTTCGGTCTTTAAGCTACCAAACACATAACAGTAACATAAAGCCAAACATACCCACAAACAATTTCTGTTTCATAGCCTGAAACCACAATGGTGAAACTCTGAATACCTAGGGAGTGTATAGCCACATTTACTTAAGCTTTGCCCGAATTTTACAGCTGTATCTTGGGGGACGAACTGCTTCCTGACAGCATGTTCTTAGTTCCTCTAGGGTACAATGTGCTCTACTGGGTGGTGAAGGATAGAGGATTGTGGAGGATAAGTCTCATTTCCCTTTCCACTGAGCTGCTAACGGTGAAGACCAAATGGCGCTGTGCACTGTACCTACAACAACACACCCTGTGTAACACATACGAGTGCGTGGGTATGAGGCATGTATGTGTGACCGTAAACACGTGCACGCACAGGGATGGGGACGTGGGCCTATGGCCTAGCCTGGTCGGCTAGGTCTCCTGCTTAGAAAAATTTTGTTTTGGGCTCATTCACAATCTGAGGGAGTGGGAGGCACCAAAAGGAAGAAGGAGAGATCTATTCCCCAGCGATAATCATGTTACCAAAAGCCACCAGGAGTCATTGTGTTTATCTTTCTCATTTATCCAAACCCCAAACAGCCCTCTGCAGCAAATCACATTTCAGCAGGGAAGATTATTCTGTCTGTAGCATAAACTTCTAGCTGTATCTCTCTCAAGAGCATCCTCTCTAGGTAAATATAAATCTCATTATAATAGTAACATTTGGAGAAGTAATGCTATTTGCCCCGATTTAGACAAAACAACATAGGCTCTGGCAAAGCTGATCTTTTCCTTAGAAATTCATCACAGGCACATAATTCAGAGACAAGATGAACTCTCTTCTCACAGCAGAGCACTAGTGTATGTGCCAGAGAGAGAGAGAGGAGAGAGGTATGAGCTGGGGGAGGGAGTGGAGGGAGGAGAAATGTGTGTTCGTATGTATGTGTACGGAGCAGGTGAGGGTCTTGAAGAATTATTCCAGCATTTCTAACCCATCCTCCAGGGAGAGGTGGAGACCAGTTCACAGGATTCATATAGAGTTGAGAAAGATCAAATAGCTGTTTTTCACTACACAACTGAGAATCTGCCAGTTTTACCCCAAAGGCATATGAAAACTCCATTCACTTCTGAGCACTGATCTTCTGCATTTAGAGTCTTGGAAGCAAGTCTCTGAGACAGCATAGAAGGGACAGGCAGTCCCTTCCTGGAGGAGGAGGGTTTCATGCCCACAGCACTTCGGAAGAAGTAGGCAAGTGCACGTGCGTGCCCTGCCTGCCTTTCTGAGCCTCCTCCACCTTTGGCCATGGGGAAAGGGTGGGAGAGGTTGTAATGAATAAATAACACTGCAGACCCATTCTAAAGCACTACTCACATCTGGGCAGTAAGGCCTCATATCAAGATCATAAGCTCAGGAATCAGACTCGCACAATTCAAATCCCTAATCTGTTTCTTACACTAGTTACTGAGCTCAGTTTTCTCTATGGCTCATTTTCCTAATTTAAAACCTGAGTTGCTAGGGATATTGTGAGAACTAAGAGAGTTAATATGTGAAAAGAACCTAGAGCAGCATCTGGCCCCCCGAGCAGTAGTAAATGTGAACTAGGATGTTATTGTCACTCTGTGGTGTCGGTGAAGCCCTCCATGTGGCCTCTTCCTGGCCTACATTCTTATGAAACCACATTATAAGGGAGGCCCAAATGTATAGGTTTATAAACCTCAAGGTTTCTCAAAAGCTGCAAAGGGCTAAGAGTAGGAGGGTAGCTAAAGAACCCATCTTGCCAGTCATGTTCTAGAATCTCTGGACTGAGGCACATGATGTACTGAAACATTCCATTTTCCTTGGGTTGGCTGTATGTTGTCAGCTTTTACCTTCTGTTTTCCAGAGCAAAAGTGGGCTTCCAGCTACATTTTATATTAAAAAGAGAAAAAAGATGGAGAATCAGGTCCAAATCTTACATCAATGAGCTCTTTAATTTGCACGAGTCTCTTCTCCTCCGTGGCCTTCATTTCCCCATCTATACAATGAGAAGTGTTGTGCCAATGGCCTCTCAGTATTAATCATCCAAATGCAATAGTCCATTGGCCACCATGCTCATTATGTAGTTTCTCTGTGATAATTAGACTTCAGCCATAAGTAGTTTCTTGGGGATGAGCTCTGGCCCAGGACTCAGGCCGGAGAGGTGAGCAAAGAGTCAATGACATTTTTGGTCTTTGGAATCTCAGCAGTTTTTGTGCTAGAGTGGAGACAGCAGAATTATCAAAGCAGGAGTCTCCTGCCTGATCCTTTCAGCTGCAGTAGCATAGTGAGACTAGATCAATAACAAAGACCAACCAAAGTGAAGGAATTGGCCTCCACAAGTCAGGCAGTTCCCCCTACCCCACAAGGCTGAGGGTTCTCAGCCTCCATATCACACTCCCTCTCAGAGCCCCTTGGTATCTTGTGTCTCGCTTCCACTAATCTCTCCTCCCAAAGGACACTCATCATGGTGCAGGCTTTACCATCTCCAGCAGCCTTTGCAACTCTGCACTTGGGCTCCTTCCGGTCCCACGGCCACTGTCAAGCTACTCAGAGTCAAGACTCTGGCCCAGCTTCTTCCATCTCCCTAAAAATTCTGGTTTCTACTTCCTAACAGTTGCAAGCCAACACTTAAGAAACTCCACATTTCAAGTGTAGCAGAATCACGGCAATCTCACAAGGCAAGAGTTGAGTTTGTTCTCAGCTATCCACAAACAGATATTTAATAACTCCTCAAGCAAAGACCGACGACTGTATCAGCAAACTATCTGACAGTCACAGCTTAGAGGAGATCAAGAATGAGGAATTTAGAGGAGGAGAGGTTTATTCCAACTCACGTTTGCAGAGATCTCAGTTCATGGTCAGCTGCTCTAGAGTAAAAATATCATGGCAAAAAGTTGAGGCAACTGCTCAACTCATAGCATCTGGGAAGCAGATCACAGAAAAGCCTAGAAGGAAGAGGCCAGGGGCCAAATAGTGCCCTCAAGGTATTGCCCTATGCCCCATCATACACATCTAAATGTGTATTATCACTAATCTTCTAAGTGTCTCTTAAGTCAGTCGAGCAGATAACCAAGATGCGATCAAGATGGCAATTGAGTTGGTTAAGATTAACCATCACGAACACCCACCATGTGCTGCTAGTAACAGTGAACTAACCTTCTAGTACTAGTAGAAGACTAGTACTACATACTGTAGGTGACATTTTACATTTTTTAATCATGTTAATATCTACAATAATGCTAACAAGAAACTACTAATACAGTCCACTGGAGAAATTGAGCCTCAGAGAACTTTAAGAGTATGTTAGTAAGTCACACAAACAGGACTTGATCACACATTAGAAGTACAATAGGAAATAGGGAAGAGCAAAAGGACTACTCCCAGCTTCTTAGAGTGAGCTTCCTGTTAGAAAAACAGTCTATGGTCTCCACTAGCCCTGTCCTGTCCTGTTCTCTCATAGAGAATGGGTATTTGCTTTAATACCCAATGATAGCTAAGACAATACACTGTGCAGATGATGACATGTGACAATTAGCTGACCGTGGCCTAAACTTAAATAGGCTTCCATCCAGGCTGTGAAAGACAGGGAAGAATCCCACCAACCCAGAGGAGCTAGGCTACATGAGAAAAATAGCATCAGCAAAGGCCAACCAACCATAGCATTCGAGGTTCTACTTCCTAATAGGTATCGGGAAGGGAGAACAAAATGTTCATATGAGAAAGAGAACAAGGGAGGGAGGATGGAAAAGAAGGGACAAGAAAAAATAATAGAAGGAAAAAGGGAAACAAAGCTTTTGTAAATAAGGAGGGAAAGAGGGGTCAAAGGGAGGGGAGGGGAATAGGAAAAAAGAAGCAAGATATATCATGTACCGGTACAAATTCCCTATGATGAGTATTATCATTATGTATATTTAAAATGTACCAATAAATGTTTGCTTCAAAAAAAAAAAAAGATTCTATTTCCTTCTGGTTATCCTGGACTAAAGGTGTGAAATTTGGACCATGGAAAAGACCTAATGAAAAGCCGGGCATGGTGGTGCACGCCTGTAATCCCAGCACTGGGGAGGCTGAGGCAGGAGGATCGCTGTGAGTTCAAGATCAGCCTGGGCTTCATAGTGAGTTCCAGGTCAGTCTCAACTACATAGTGAGACCCTGTCTCAAAAAACAAAAACAAACAAACAAAAAGACCTCAGGAAAGTATCACTTGGATATTTGGTCACATTACAGCTATTCTGGTCTGCAGACCTGGATACTGTCTGCTAGAAACATGTCTGGGGCATAGGGGACCATGCAATTGTCTTAATGGTCTATGATGACACTCCAGTTAAAGTCAAGTTGGATATTCCTAAGAGATAGCTTCTTATATATTTCCACCAATTACCATTAGTAACAGAAGATATGAAGACATACTCCGACTATGTTTACCTGTTAAATTTTAAATTATTATCTCATGCTTGTGTAATTCTAAAAAACACCTGTATTTGTTTGAGTCCACTTCTTTATTAACTCCACAGCTCTTTGGGGCCCCTGCTCTGTACTGGGAACTATTCAGGGCAATATGGGAAAAGCAATGAATAAAATCTGTACAGTCCCTCTCCAGGGAAGTTGCACTCCAGGGTTTCTTCCCATGGTTCATTGAACCTGGCTCCTTGAAGACGTAGAGTGTCCACCCAAGGCTTCCCAGCACACTGCTTGTGGGATTTCCATAGGGCATTTGAGGAGCAGAGTTCTGGGAGAGAATGTGTCTGTCAGTCCACGGGAACAGGAAAGACTGCTCTACTTTATATTAAGGATTTTTCTGCCACATATGGGGCGACCTTCCACAGCTACACATCGATAAGGGTGTCATTCTTTTCCTTCCCTGATAACAACAGCCACAGTAAGAACCAAACCCTGAACCTGCAGTGTCTCCTTGTTACCATTTGATGCCTCTACTGATTGGGATGTGAGGCTGAAAATAACAGGAAGTTCATCCTCATGTGACTCGAACATGAGTACCACATTCTTGATCTCATCTAGTGTAGATTATGGTAAATGGTCTCTACAAATAAGCATCATAAGCCTATATTCTTTCTTCCCTTCTTGTCATACTCATCACAGTAGCTCTTCCTCCAGACCTCTCCTTCAGGCCCCAAGAAGAAGACTACCGCACTTTTAACTGTCACATGCAAGCATCAGCAGGAGTGAGGAGAGCCTGTGTTCCTGTAGTGTGTTTGAGCAAGAAACCCTCACCCAGAAGTCTCCTCAACAGATTTCTGTCACATCTCTTTTGTCAGAACCAACTCATGTGATTTCCTCTAAGCTAATCCCTGTCAAGGTGAATGGGGCCATGATTGAGAGAGAGAGAGCTGTGTGCTTTAAAAGAAGCAGGGACCTTTCCTGTGCTGGAAGATGAATCTTCAGCTAAGAAGAATTTGTAAACAAGGAAGAAAGGAGAAATGCCTGTTGCATGGACAAAGAAGAGTATGTCACCATGGTCTGCACCCCTGTGTGGAGAATCTCTGGTGGCACTACTTGATATGGGAAAGAAAAGCCACAGGTGTTGGCTGCTTCCAAAAAGGAAAACACTGCCCTAGGTTCCATTAACTCCAACCCTGAGTTTTAGTCAGAAACCCTCCAATAACTTCAAATCATTTTGTCTGTTTGTTATTTGGCCTCCCCAGTGGGAATGACAGGGCCAAGAGGGCCCAACTCACTTCCCATTCCAACCCCTAGCATGATCCGTGTCACACCATGGTACTTGAGGAATATTTTTACGGAAACAAATACATGAATTCCTTGTAAAGTTCAAGAGTCCCCCTGTTCAACCACCGTTCTTCGCACTTTCCTTTCAGCCAAACTGATTAATACAGGTTGGGTAACTTGCTGAATGTTACTTGAGGAGCAAGTGGCAAATTTTAACCTTAAACCTGTCCACCAGTTTCCAAGCCCTTGCTCTGTTCTCAGTGCTATGACTTTGGTCCATGTGTGAAGATAGGCTTGATTGAATGAG